AAAATGTGTGATGGTATGATAATGTTGTGTTGGCATCAGGTGGCAGTCGTGTACATTACACTTCTGCAGGTTTATCATATGTAGGAAAGAAGTGCAGCAGCCCTAATAAAACATTTATGTTATGTAATGCATACAGGAGAACAGTTTTATTGTGTGAGAATGTTTATCTGTGTAATGGAAGTATTTCTTCCCTTTGTTTGGAAATACTCCACATTTATTCAGGAAGCCTCAACTAATTGGCACTTGTCTTGACTAAAATTGTAGAAGTAAAACTGCCTTCAACTACAAACCTTTTTTTTATGCATGAGTGTAAAAGTTGAATGCAATGCATTTTTTAACTTAAAAGAACATGAATTGCCACAATATTAAAAATACATTAAGCTCTTTGTTAGAAGTCAAAACTGCTCACTTTATTTAGAGCACTGAGAAGAAAATTGTAACTGGAGTGTAAATTTCTGTATCAGTATTTTCTGCTGTTGATCAGTCAAACAAAGTTTGTAGAAAATACTGCACATATCAGTATTTTTTGTCATTTTATCTCCAGATAGCTCTGGAGTACCATGACCTCTGACAAACACTGCTAAGGGTCAGAAAAACATCTTAGACCTTCATAATAATCTCCCTTGCATTGACTTCCATACTGGGATCTGGCCAGTACACCTGAGTTTTTTGTTCCTAGACAGCTGATGTGAAATAATTGTCAGTTGAGTGACAGTGTGAATGGTGTGAGAGATTTCAAGAAAAAAAATCTGAAACAATATTGTAATAATATACACAGGATAGCTTTTATGATTTTTCTTCATCAGTGGACTACTTTCTTTCCTAGTTGAATGTGCTATTATCAACAGGAGGAATATCCAGGCATTTGATAAAAATTGCCAATTGCTCCTAGGTGTCCATGTTCTTAATGTATTTTGTTCTTCCAGACCCTACTTCACATGAGGGCTTTCTCGACATATTGTGATTCAGCATTAATTTCTCATCTGTACATTTTAATGTTTTTTTCAATACATTTATCTTAAAGATGTTTTTAATGTTGTTTTTATGCATACACCTACTTTTTCTCTGAATCGTACATCTTCTCTTTAAGCTACATTAGATTGGAGAAAGTTTTATCCCATTACTATTTTTCCATATTCTGCCTTGACAGCTCTTGGGGAAAAGAGATAGATTTGGAGTACATCATGGTCAAGTGGGAGATTAGTTTTTACGTAGTTCTAATGTGTCCAACCAATAACCTGAACTTTGTTTGGATATTATAAAATAATCACTTCCTTTTGGTTAACATGATTCCAACAGTGCATGCCTGGACCATTACAGAATATAGAACTTAACGTCTTTTTAATCTGATGTTGTAAAGAATTTCTATTCTGGTGTTGAATGTATTCAGTCTCTGAATTAAGTAATTTGATCATATTAAAAATGTTTTGTCAAACTGTGTATTAGCCAGGATTTTAGAAAAAAAAGCCTGTCAGAAATTCAGCTTTTTGTTGAATTTGGATATGAAAACACGCTTCTGAAAGTTGCAAAATTTTGTTTTCTTTGTCAGAAGCAGTAAGCAGGGAAATTTAGGAATAGCAAGAGCAGGATTTTACCATCAGGAATTGAAGGAGTCTACAAGTGAAATAGATAGTGCTAAGTATTCTGCTGTTGTGGAACTCCTTCTTTAAATACATCCAAACAAAACATGACTCTCAGATTTGCCTGTGCTTTACTTGTTTTTTCTTTATGACCTGTGAGTATATCAGCTGATTTATATATATTCCATTTCATAAGTTCTTTCTACAGAAGTAAAACTAGGGATAAACAGGTCTATTTCTTATTGATGCTATTAAAGGATAGAGGAGTAATAATGAAATGTATATGAGATCTGTGCTTGGAAAACATGATGTGCCTGGTTTTTGGTACACACAATTTTTATTCATCTTCTAACAAATCTGTTACCAGTCTTTGCTCACTCTTTGGGTCTGGTTTCCCTACTTCCTAAATTTTCTTCCCCTCACTTCCCATCATTATTCTCTTGTTATAACTCCATCTTGTGCTTCAGAGATCAGGAAAGACACCTGTGGCTTATCCTTAACTCTTAACTCCTATCTTACTCCCTTGTGAGTAAGAAAGGGATGTAAACATAATGTATGTCTTAACTGTCAGTGCATTACACCCTCTCAGTTTCCTACATTTCTTACTTCATTACAACTCTTTCACATTGTTCCAAAACCTTCACTTCTTTCAGATAACGTTTTGATAGTAATTCCTTAGTATTGCTCCTGCCTTATCTCTTTATCTACTCATTTACCTGTATTGTGATATAAAAATGATAAAGAATAAACTTAAAACCAGAAGCTGAACATTGTGTTTTCAGTTTTGCTGTTCAGGTTCTTCTTATTAGATCTAAATTTTGCTTAGAAGGAAGGATTTTTTTCACTTAACAGATGATTAATAGAAAAATCAAAGGACTCAGTTTTAGATCACACAAGTTACTGGTGAGGATAGATATAGATATACTTTTGATTAAGAACGTGTAGGTGCACAATCTTTCATTCTGGTTTTTGTAGCTACAAATGGTCATCTGTGGTAGGGTTCTTGTGTGTAGTTGTGTCTGAAAAATGAGGAGTGTTTAATCCATGATCATTTTCTAAAATACTATTTTATTGACCAACTTCTAGAACTTTAGACAGGAGTTGACCAGAAATAAGGATACATCTGAATTCCTTTCTGTGGCATTTGCCATGAAAAAAAAGTATTGTTTGTTGATTTTTGTTTTGCTTTTTTCTTTTCCCCTAGTAACACCCTGCTGAATACTCAGTGGTACAGTGTATGCAAATTTCACCATACTCTGGTTCACCCCTTGAGAAACACCAAGTTGTGTGCTTATATCCAGGTTCCGCTAGAAAATGTTACCATGCATATTGTTTGTGCCATGAATGTAAGACAAGAGCTGACCTTAAGCTATTTCCTCTTGTTTTTTTATTTTCAAGCATTTATTATTTCATCACTTGCGATCTATAGATCTTGTATATTTTTCTCTATGTATTTTGAAGAGAGAAAGATATAATTTCAGTTATATGCATTATCTCCAGACTAATTTTTAAGTCCTAAATCTTCAGAACAACTTGAGTAGCCACACTACTCACACTGGTAAGTAAGAGAATAAAACTGGTTTTCTTCTGTGAAGGGCTTGCATATAGCTGTCTCTTAAAACTTTTCCCCACAATTCTGTGATATATAGCATTTTTTTATAATGTCCTGACTCCACGTAATTAAGATTTTGTAAGATTGTCAGTATTTATTTTTAATTATAATTTTCTTTTTTCTAGTTCCCATTTTTTCAAAGCAAAACCATTGAAAATGGTTCTATTTGATCATGTTATACTTTCTGAGATCGATAGTATTTGTACCAGGATACTGGGCCAAGTGTTTTTGCACTAACTCATGTCTCTTTTTTTTCCAGTAAGGATTTCTTTTTCCTCCTGAGGGTGTTTTATTCATTGTTGTTGGCTGGTGTTTTTTTTCCTCTTGTTGTTTTTGAATGAAGAAATACATAGCAACTAGGTTGAAGGTTGAATCTGTGTTCTAAAGGAGACTTTTTTTTTAAAAATGAATACAGTTTTTCCTTGGTCAGTATACTGGAATTGCTTGGAGGTTTACTCAGAGTTCCATCAAAACTGTAGTGTTGGTGTTTTGCTTCATAGTTCAAAACTGATACTATTCTAATGCAGTAAGACTAGTAAAGGAAAGCAACAACTTTCATAAATGTTTCCAATGTACTTTACTATTACATATCCTATTAGAACTAAATATTTAGATAATTAATGTATTCTTTAGGTGCATTATTTTCTTCCCAGTCTAAAGTAAGTAAAAAAAAAAAAATTCTTGACTATGTTTTGAATGTGACATTTTTAAGTTCTCCAAGGATCAGAAAAAAATAAGCAGTGGCAATTTAACTTTTACTGGAGTGTGCTGGCCAGCATAAAGCATAGTTAAATTTCCTTGGTTCATTCAGTCTTTGGCTTCCTTGCTGTGACTTCACAAAAGAAAGGAATTGTAGTTTGAAAGATTTCAAATTGGTTGTGTGAGACTTAGTTTTACATACACTACGAAATAACCATTGGGTGACGGAAACTCAGTTCAGGCTTGATTCAGACCAGCAAGCAGAAGGATATGCCTAAGATCATTTTTATTGTCTTCATCCTTTCTACTTCAATTGACATGACACCAGTTTAATTTATCATTAGAAGAGGTTTATTTACTGGATTCAGCAATTCTGAAAACAACTCTGGATGTAAATGACTGTTTTATTTTGTGTGCTTCTAGCAATACAAGGCATTTTGAGCATCTTCCTCATTTGTTTCTTCTACCTTCTGTGTCATCTAGTAAAAAAATTATATAATAAAGGAAGAGTAATCAGGTAGGAGATGTGTGGGAGAAGTCATATATGTTTTATATTTAAAAGAAAAACCTGATATTGGTCTGGCATTAAAATTTTCTGGTTGGGCAGCATAATTTTTAACTGGGAAACTTGATAGCAGTGGCTAACATCTCTAGGACAGGGACAACTGGAATCTGTATTGCATTCTGTCAGGTATCAATAATGATACTTGTCAGGCCTGATACTCCCAGTTATGGCATACTATGATCATATTATCTGTAGAATATATAGTGGTTTTTTTCTTCAGTTAGAATTTTAGGACTTCATTATTCTCCATATACAAATCAGATAAGTAACATGTATTCATTCAGAAATAATAGTGAATTTAGCATGCAGAATATATGCCAGGTTGGTAATATAATGAGAAGAAAGTTCAACAAGGGAAGGTTAAAATGACATGATAAATCACCATTTATTTCAGAAATTAGAGTCTGTGTCTTTGTCCTCTAGAGATGTCTCAGAGAGTCAAATTGATGTCTTGCATGTACTGCTAACTGATTGTGTGGAAATTTTTTTAAGTTCACTTTTTCTTTATTCTTCTGTCTTTTTTACCCATCTTCCTCCATTGTAGCAAATTAGACGGCCGGATGAAAGCAAAGGAGTTGCTAGTAGAGTTGGATCCCTCAAAGTAAATATGTTTCTAACATTTATTTTGCAAATTTTCTTCTATAGCCTACATTTTTCCTTTTCAAGGGGGAGGTGAGGGGAGGGAGGGAAGGGGCTTTTCCATTTCTCACCATCTCATCATTTTTATTTCAATACTCTTATCGCTGTTGGGTCACATTTTGTTTGTTTCTGTGCTACACATAGAACAACCTACGGAAGGCCAGATAGTAAGCTTTGGATGTCATGAAATACAAAACACTGACTTTCTTGAAGTGCCTATAATTTGATGATCATGATTAAACCACTTCTCTGATGTGTGTTGTTTGTCATGTAACTGCCTATTACATAGAGAAGTGACTTACTCATCTTCAAACTGCTGCTTCCCATCTAAAACATAATATAACTTTTATGGTGCTTGCACTTCTTGCATTTAAATTCTGCAAAAGACCATTATAAGAAAGTTGAATATCTCATCCATATCTAGCCTTTAAATCAGAAAGAAACAGAGCAGATAAAAGAGGAATTGAGAGAGATTCATGTGAGACTAATAAGAATGGAGCCACTGTTTTTCTAATAATTAGTCCCCTTTTCTGCCTTTTTGTTTGCATAAACATACTTTAGAGCACTTATCAAGCAGATATGTAAATTATTACCTACCTATGTATAGTGTTACGCTCTAATAAATGATTTGAAACACAGGACATAATTTGTACCAGGATGCAGATCACATGGAGTCCAGGCCATTCTGTTAAGATTCCATCTCAACAGTTGCCTCTTTCAGCCACCCAATTTTCCACCTTTTTTCCACTTTATCTCCTTTTAGCACTTTCTAAAGCGCTAACTAATTCATTTTTCTTCTGCACTCTCTTTGCCTTTCCTGCCTTGTTTTTTGATCTTTTGTTTTGTTCTTGTATGTGTGTGTACTGCCTTTGTTCCAGGACAAGCCATCCTCTCTGTTCTCTAACACTGCTCTACTGCTGCTCTTTGTGAAAATGTTATTTCACTGAGCATAAAGAAGGGGAGGGGAAGGATTAATTATGCACCTCTTTCCAGTAATGACACCATTTAAATTGATCTCAATATAGAAAAGAAGCCAGTTGCTCTTTGTTATACAAGTCATACCTAGTGGCATCTGTAGCATTCCTCACTGTCTGTGAGGCTTTATCTTTTCATCCTGTGTTTTGAGAAGAAGTTTTTGTTACAGTGTAAGTGAGAAGTGCCCTCTGTGTGAATGAGACACAGCTTCAGCCGTGGACTTTCAGTACCACTGAATGCACACACAGGGAAAGACAAGACAGTGACAGTTTCTGTGCTGAGATTCCTGTATGTACTTACTGCGACCTGTTCATCTTATTGGATCATTGCATACACTTTTCCATGCATAATGTGTGTACAGACGCAAAAAATGTAACTTACAAGGAACAGGATTCACCTCCTGTTTTATGAATGTTTATTGATACCTAGTTCAGGATTCTTATTTCTGTACCTGGCTGCTCAGGTTATAATTTTACTGCTGAAAATATGTATTTAGACACAAAATCTTACATAAATATCCATAGAGTTGGATATCCTAACTGGGAATCCAAAATGTGAATGTATGCTCCTTTGAGATGAAAATACATTCTAGAACACTGCCTTAACAATAAACAAGCAAATAATCAGTGTAGCAGAGATCTAGTTGCTTTAGAACAATCAGTCCCTTGATTTTTTTTCAGTGTTTTTCTTGTGCTGAAAAAAGAGCCGTGCTAATGAAGCAAAAATATCTTATTTCCAGTTTTGAAGTTTATCGAGCTTGCATGTCTGTGTTGTTGAAATCACTTTGATGTCTTGAAATATTTTGCCAGAGGCAGTGAGAAATGTGTTATCCTATGATTTTAAAACAAGGAACAAAAGAAAAAGAAAAAGAAAAAAACATGACCGGAGAACAGGTTGCTTTTTCAATTCATTTTCTGATGTTTACATGTAGCTCCATCGAAAGCTGGAGGAGCTCAGAGATCACCTAGAAGGCAATGTCAAAGGATGCTCTCTCCGAGCAAATGTACGATTTCACTCGGTGATCTGTTTTTTTAAAATTTCCGCTGGCTGGTAACACTAAATCTGATTGGTTTGTCCTCTCATGCCCATCTTTTTCCTTTCTCTCTCTTTCTCCCTTTGTGTTTTCTTTCTTTTCTAGCTGGAATTTCATTTTTAATGTGTTTGAGAAACCTGACATAATTGACAGGATTTGTTTAAAAGAACATACTACTGCATTTTGATGAGTGCTAATCAGACTGCTTGCCTTTAACACCAGTTAAAAAAAATCCCTTTCCAGAACTGAAATTAATGTTTCCTGAATATTAGGCTTAGTAATAAATAAAATAGATGCCCTTAGTTATAGGAGAATGGTATCTTCTGCCTGTGATTGATAGCCTTAGATGCACTAAGGTAAATCAAAAGTATATATGCTCACATTTGCCTATGTCTTTGCCTTTGATTTTTTTGGAGTCCCTACGTCATCCTGCAAAGTATGTTAATATTTGGTTGAATGCAGGCTCCACACATTTGGTTGGTTGTTTTATGACGAGACTCCTCTGATACAAAAACTAATGTTTCATACATATTATTTGTTGCATTTCTTCTTTAATAAATGAAATAACGTGAAAAAGAATCGGGATCTATCTTATCAGTAATGACACCCCTGTAAGGTTAACCATTTTTCACAGAATCTTTAAAAATCTGAGTCAAACCCAACATAACAATGTAGGCAATAAGTACCCCGTAAACAGGTGTTTCACCTCACAAATGAAGATCAGCCTTTCAGCAATTAATTTTACAGAAGAGATAATTTAAGCCACATAATTTGATGTGTAACGAAAATCAGAAAAAAAGGGACAGTTACGAGCATAGCAGATGTAAAAGATATCAGAAGCCACTTATCCCTTTGAACATCCATCCAGTGACAATTCTTAGAAGTTTCTTCAGATTCATGTCCCGTTTGTGTCTTCCATACGCTATGACTGTTGTTATTGTCAGCATTACCATTCTAATGCATAATCCACTATGGTTATACAGCGACAGATGATTTTGATAATGATAATAATTTGGTAATTTCTATCCCTTTTGGATGACTTTGCATATCAGCTATGTATCTGACATAAAGTTGGTCTCTGCTTATTGTCAAATTGAAATCCCTGGGCTTATAATCTTTTGCAGTTCAAATGCAGGGAAACCAAGCTGCTAATATATCACAGTGTTCCACAAAGTAAATTTTGTGAAAGCACTGTATCTTGTCTCTGACAGTTCTTTAGGAATCACATTTTTGAGAGAATAAAGAGTGATATTTCAGATTTGGTTACATGCTAAATTTCTTAGTGTTAATCAAACAGAGCAATTCTCATCCTTAAAAATGTGATTTAGTACTAGTGAATAAATGTAAAGCCAGGAAAAAGAAATGCCATGAGATGATGTACTATAAAAATGTTGTTATAATCACACTTTATCCCATAGAATGTCACATTGAAAAAGGTTTCAAATGAGAAACTGTGACCATGTTAACTATAGTTATTATGAGAACTAATTGACATGAAATTGTCTTGTTCCTTTGTGCCTTTTTATCTGTTATTATGTAGCAATACCCTACATAGTGTTATTAAGGAAGTGAGATCATGAGCTAAGATATATTCCATACGTTCTGCTTACACCCTTTAAGTTTCTTAAAATTTAAACTGGACACATTGCAAGTATAACAACATATAATTAAAATCTATTGCTTTTTCACTGCCACTGTGATTCATGTTGTTCAATGGGTATTTTAAATAAGTCAGCATTTTAAAAGGCAATATACAAATGACTGGTCAATAATAAGGAAGTCGTTAGTAAACAGTGGACAGTTGGAAAGAAAATGAGAGATCTGTTAATACTTCATAATAATCAATATTTTTCATGTTTTTCATACTGGTTTTGGAAAGGGGTTTAGATGGAAGTCCTAGGGAAGTTACCCTACAAGGTAGCAAATGTATTACATTGTGTGGGAGGGGGAACATACAGTATCTGATGGCCAGCGCATAGACGAAAATTGAATGCTATTGCACAGTACTATATGCTGTTAAGGTGGAACCTTTGTTTCAGAATGAATTGCAAAGAATTTTCCCATTTTAAAGGCATAGGTCATTGGAAATATTTAGAAATATCCCAGATTCCAACAGAAGTACAAAAAGCCAGCCAGGTACTTAAAATAACGCTGTACTGAATATGTGCATGAAAATTTGAGTTAATTAAGCAGTTTTGAGGGTTTGAGGGCTTATAATTTTGTAAAACTACCAATATCAGCAGTAGTACATAAATATTTGCATAAAGGTTACCTGAAGTGTCTTTCCATTTCCTTTTCAGTTCTCCATGCATCTAACCTATGGCTATTCCAGTTAAACCTTTGAACCTTCCGGAGACCCGTGTTTGAAGCTGAACTTAGGCATTGTTTAGAAAAGTTAGTGTTCTATCATTTGGAATTGTTGGCATTTTTTTACCTGTTCAAATTAATGTAGCAGTAGCAAATAAATTCCATTAGCTGCTGAGATGATTAACAGCAAAAAAACTGACTGGTTCATGTTTTAGAACTCATAACATCTGCTTAAAATTGATACATTACTGAAAGCATGGGGAAGTTCAGCAGAGATTGATCAGAATAGTATGCTTCAGTCTGTACTTTGAAGGTTTCTTTTGGTTTTTGGTTCTTGTTGTGTTTTTTGTTTTTTTTTTGTAAATTTGCAGACTAAATTATGCTTAGGTCACTCTGAAAGTAATGCCTCCTATTTATTTCTATGGAAACTCCAACAGATACAAAGATCACAATAACACTATTTGATAAAACAAATTCTCAGCTATAAAACACTGTTTTTCAGCATAGTCACCACCATTTGCTGTGCATTTTCACCAGCAATCAACCAGGGCCTACATGCTGTGCTCTCTAAAAATCTGCACCAGTGGAAATGACATGGCTGCTATAATAGTGTTGTTGCTTGGAAAATGTTGCTCACTCAAACCATGTTTCATTGGCCTGAGCAGTTGGAAGTCAGAAGGTGCCAAATCTGGACTATGCAGTGGGTGTAGTGGGGCCATACAGCCAAGATTGGCAATGTGCTCCACAGTCTTCAGGACTGTGCAAGAGAAAGGTTGTCGTCTTCTCTGGCCTGACTCCGGAAGTTTGAGCCTTCAGCTTAGCCAGTGTCACGATGTAGCTGTCAGAGCTGATGGTTTGTCTGGTTTCCAGGAAATTCAGATGAATCATCCCTTTCCTATCCCAAAACTCAGTACTCATCACTTTACCCAGTGAGGGCTATGTCTTGAACTTTTTCTTCAATGGGTAATTCACATCTCCATTCCACAGACTGTCGTTTTGACTCCAACCTGTAGTGGTGATGCCATGTCTTGTGACCAGCACAACTCTGTGATATTCTGACGATGCCACGATTGTTTCTAAGTCATTGATGCTGATATTCAGCTCTTTACACAGTTCCCTGGTCATAATCTACTGATTTACATGGATGGAGCTGACCACATGATCTTTCATTTTGTGGTGCAACAGCTGTGCATGCTTGTCTGGAACATGGATTGTCTTTCACATTGCTGTCACCACTGTTGAAATGCAGCACCCACTGCCTCACAGTGCTCACATTCAATAATTGGTCTCCATAAATGTTCACCAGGTGTCCACGAATGTCAATGGATGCCATTTCTTCCACAGAGAGAATTCAATGCCACACCTTTGCTTCATATGCATTTCCTTATTAGATGCCATTTTATTAGTCTGCCCCTCTGCTGCCATCTGTCACATGGCAGCAAAATGTAACAGAATATTTGTGGGAAAGATAAACTTCTACTGCCATATCTCTAACATGCACCTCTGATGATGTGGGCTAACATCATAAAATAGGAGGCACTATTTTCAGAACAGCCCTCATATTTTAAATACAGGTTTTAATTCTGTAGAAATACATTATGGAAATCCAATCATGAAAAAAAAAAAAATCTAAATCTAAATTTAGATTCTTGACCATCATCTTTCCAAATCAACGATTCTGTTTTTGACCATGAAAAATGCTCTCAGAATTCACAGCAGAAGTCAAATTCTGTCCATAGATGATCTATAATGAAACCTGGGTCATCGTTTCTCAGAATTGTGTCTCACAAAATCTACACTCTTCTGTATGTTTTGTTGTCACTTTACTTACTTTTGTTCTTACTTTAAGTACCTGCCTTCTTTGATCCTGATGAAGAATTGCATTTATGGGGCTTTTGTTCCAGGTCATAATATTCAATTATTAAAGATCTGAGTCAAGGCCTTCAGTCAAATAACAGATTGCTCTTGCAGCCTTTGAACCAGATTCTCAGTTGGTGTACATGAGCATAGCTCTTTTAAAAGTAATTATCACAGCAGGGGAATTTCTGTGACTGGCATAAATTCTGTCCCCCTTAGCTGAGATGTTTGCAGCTCAAATTACAATTTGCCTCTATTAAACTGGAACTATGAACCAAGAAAGAAAGGAATGATTTGAAGTGATTAAATATTAAGAGGAATAAGACCTAAGTTAAATATTAAGATTTAGATAGATATTAATTAAAACATGGTTAATTAGATCACAGAGTAATAGCAGTCTCCTCATAGTAAATGTCCAAAAGAAGATAAGAGATGTATGAAAGTACTTTGCATGCCCCCTGTAAATTAGTGTGAGGAATAGGTAAAATAAGCCAAATTCTTCCAATTTTTTAAAAAATTCTATAGCTCATATCAGTGCTGGTTTCTTTTATTTAGTTGCTGATACTTAAAAAGATGGTGCTGTGTTATTTCTTGCTGTTACTGCATTCTTTGAATCCTCACCTTCAAAAGTGAGGCTAAGGGATTTTCTTTTGCCACGCTATTGCAAGACAAAACAAGGGTTCAATGGGTGGACGTTATTGATGAGAATCTTGCTTAGGGAATCTTTTAAAAATCTTAGGTGAATAGCAGAGCCCCTGTTCTTAGCAAAAGCGTAACTTAAATTTCCTATAAAGCTGTCAGTGTCATCTGTCTAGAAACAGATTTTGTATTTGTTTGAAAGGAGTTCTCTTTTTCTTCTGTTTGTTTTTTTTTTTCCTGAAGTAATTTTCTAGTTGTGACTTAATCCTGAAAACCATCTCACTGTACCATATTCTGATTTTAAAAAATTTTAAAAAAAACAAGTGAAGAAAGTTCTGAGCATGTACAGACGTTTAAGATGTCATGAAGTCACTCATTTCATTAGTAATACTATCTAGTCAGAGCAAATGAAATACGTACAGAATACTGGAAAGGAGCAAAAATATTTGCAGTGAGAGAACTAAAAAATTGTCACTGAAGGAGGAACAACTGTAAATAAAGCATGTAACGGGGACGGCTGTGAATGTGAAATTTTTCTGATAGTGGTATTTTACATTTCAGTGAAGAATTAAAGAATACACATTTGAGATCGAAAAATGTTCACGGCTGACTTTTTGTGAATGTTATTTTTCTCTTCTCAGTCCATCGTAATACTCAAGTCAGCAGTTTCTGTGAAAGTTCTTGCTGGGTTGTTTACCGTAAATGTAGCTGAAGAGTACAGCAAATAGCAGTTCTGTTGAAGTACAAGAAAGGTTTTTAGGAACTTCTGATAATTCATTTTTTTTACCTTTGAAAAAAATCAAGAGGAGATTTTTAATGCATTAGTAGGATCGTGTCTTTTTAAATTTCATTTATTAGCTGGTTTTAGTGCTCGCAGCTAGTTGTGATCAGATCATTAACCTATCAAAAGTTAAGGAGAAAGAAAAATCCAGACTACTCTGTAATTTAAATGTGAAATGTTTTCAACCGAAGAAGAGATTTTCGGACTTACGTTAGTAAAAGAAGTCCATAAATAATTGGATACTTTTTAAAATTTATTTCTGATCTAGAAGTGACTTTATTGGCATTGAAAAGTGAATATCTTGTATAAGCAAAGCATTCCCAAAGCAATCAGTAAAACTGTAGTCTTTCCACTTACCTTGAGTCTGTGTTGAAAGTTTTTGACAGGAAGCGCTGTCCCTCGGGAGTCGCAACTGTTTCTATTGCTGAAGAGACATAATCTGCAGATTTCTGCTGACCTATATCTGACAGTTAATCATTTAACTTTGCAATTTATTCTGGTTTTTTCTGGGACTGAGGTTGAAGAAAAACCGCTATTGCCAAAGATCTCGTTCTGAGCAACTAAAAACGTAGAGGAATACAGGGAAGAAAAAGGTCTCTCATATTTTCACATTTCTCCTTTGCAGAGTTGAAATAAAACCAATTGTGTCAAATGGAAGAGGCTGGTAAAGCTTCATTTTAGAATACCTTGCTGTCCAAAGGATAGCTTTCTCTTCATGTTATGAATTAGATAGAGGAGGGAGAATTGACAATTCAGATTGTTCCTTAGGCTTAATTATTTCATAAATGCAAAATCTTTTATTTTTTTCCTTTTAAGAAGTTTCCACCTTAAAAGGCATAAATTTGGCGTTTCTGAAATAGCTGGTCACAGAAACTTAATGAACCCTCTGCTACTATCTCAGTGCTGGAACCACCTATACAGAAAGCCTTCTAAGACCCTGACTGTGCCACCATTTCTTTTTTAACAATGTTTTCTTTTCCCCACTGCACAACCAGGCTCGGCTCCCTTCGTGCTCATCCACCTATAGTGTTTCTGAGGTATACTTTGCACGTGTTCTCTCACACAGTCGACCTGCTCTGCCATCACACTTCTTTGGTTTTATTTAGTTTTTTTCTTTTTTTTGCATTGCACTGTGCACAAATGGGGAAAAATCAGCTTGCGGGGGCAGAAATTGCATGATCAACCTGCAGCCATGTTCAGCGTGGTTTTAAAATCACTGTATCAGCTGGGACCACCATGGTATATAGTCAAGCTAGGCAACTAATACATAGCATACAAACAGAAATTATATAATTAAAGCATCCTTATTTATCACTTACATTAAAATGAGGATACTTTCATAATAGACTTACAGATGTCCAGACTGCAAGAAGCAATGAAAGTGAGGGGCTCTGTAGAAATGACCATTATATTATAGTTAGTTATTTGTCAAAATGTAGGTTGCCTAGAAGGATCTGAAGTTTATTGTTTGCAAAAACTGTTTTCATCCGCTGCCTTCCCAAAATGCACGTCTTCTAAAACTTCCATATCAACTTCACTATAGCCTTCTATAATAAAAGGCATAGTATCAGCTTAGTAAGATTTTAAAAGAAAGATGCATTTAGTTGTAGTTAGGATGAAAAAAATATATAGATTATTTAAGACTGGCTTTTCACTAATTTTTTAAGGAGAAAGATACTAATCATAGGATAAAGTCAGAATTTATAAAATATTGTCAGATTAGTGCCGTGACCAGCTCTGTAAGGATTAGGCTTCAATTTATAAGTGAATAGTGGATGAGTATCAAAAAGGTGGACTTGAGGTTTTCAGTAATGTTAAAGCAATCCTGAACAGATAGAGTTAATCTATTTTGTATTTTAAAAGAACCCATTAAAGTTGACAAGATCTCTTAAAAAGAGTATACAATTCACCCTATCTCATACTGTTGGACAAGTTCTAGACCTGATATTAATGTTCTGTTGATGAGTATCTTACAAAAAGGAGCTCCTAAGCTACTCCTAAGCAGGAGTGCATCCTAATCAGGATGAGCTGTGTGTAAGCAGTACTTTGCTGATACACATCTGATTTATTCTCTACAGATTTGGCTTCTCAAGCAATAACTCCTAGCAATAACCTCTATCCTTATTATTAAAAAGTTGCTTTCTAGTTTCAGTGAATGACCAGACAAAATATTAAAAGTTTTTAAGAAGAAAGATGCTTAATGTTTTTTCTGTTACAGACAAATAATTGCAGTCTGGCTTGAACTGCAGAGAAATTGTTTTAAGATGATCAAATATCAGTTCTTAAAAGCATCCGATACGTATTCAGGAATTTGAGCCTCATTACCATTTTCTATGAAAGCCTTGCTTTTTGATCGTGATTAACATCAAAACAACGATGTGGAATATATTAATGCTATTCACATGTAGCGAGGCAGGGAGCAAGAAATGGAATTTAGTGCTTACAGATACAAGACAATTATCAACGCCACTTGACCAGTCATTCTTCTGAATGAATCAGTATGAATTAAAAAAAAAAAAAAGCTTGATGTTGCTTTGTTTCTGAAGATTTCCACTCTGATAGCTCTCTACTGCAAAAAGTGGTCAGCATACGCTGAGATCATGCAGGAAGTGAGCCACTTCCAGAGAAACTGTATTCTTGCTTTGCCTGCAACTTCAAAGCCATTTGTCCTTTTCCGCTCTGAAGGCACGCCTCTGAAATCTGAGCCAATGTGTTTTCTTTAGTGCTGGTCGGTATGTATAGCTGTCCTGCTTGATCAGATTTCAAAAACTATTTTGCCTTCTCCAAAGCTATTAGACTGCATTACTGATTTGTCATTTTGGAATAGTTCAATTCTGCCTCAACTGAAAAAGTTGGAATATAAGGTGTACGAAAACTTAGTGAACGCTGTTCACAAAGCAAGTCTTCTGTGATTTGTAATATGGAGTCTGGTAGCTGAAGTATCAAGGTGCCACTGTGAGAATGACAAGCAGTTCATTCTTTACATTCTATTCAAAGGAGAGATATGAATATCTAAAAAACAGACAGTCTGGCTGTGCAGCAGATCTTGTGATGCAGTTAAATTTCCAGCTGATCAGTTCATGCTTATGAAACATATGAGCAGGACATCAACTGCCTTTTTTTAAGCCAGAGGTGCAAGCAAACATGAATACATTCTTCTTTGGTGGCAAAATAACACCCTACGCATTTTGAAACAGTCAGTTTGAGCTGGTCACAGATCCATAAAAACAATTTGATTGAAGCTGAAGATCTCTTACAATTATAGTTATTTGAAGATATAAGAAGGCAAGACAAACTGTTTTTCTGAAAGAGACATTGTAGATTCATCTTAAGAAATTTGCTTATAGTTCTGGGTTTTGAGAAGAGCTCTAGAATTGGATGCACTGGTAATTCTAGAACTGAGGTAGCCAAAAAGGAAAGTGAGTTTTACTATCAGGGAATTTGTTATGCTATTACTTACAAGATCTTTAATCGAAGAAATAAAAGATGTTCCATCAAAAGACGAAGTTGGGATCTGTGCTTTCTGCATTGTGAAGAATTTGAGGTAGGATTTGCTCCCTGATTTTCTTCACTGAAATATCCTTGTAAAGGCCGTTTTTCATCTCAGAGCCCAATAATTAGAAAAGCATCTTTTTTTACCGGTTCTTTTTTATTGTCACCAGTTTACACTGGTAAAACTGTGGATGTGAGCAACTGATGTTAATTTGAAAGGAATGGGCAGAAAGGTTTTTAAAAAATTTATGCCTACCTTTAGTAACAGAAAGTTTTCCACGCTTTGCTGAACTCTAGACATTATAGTGAAGTAGTACTAACCACCTCCTTACTCTCAGTATAATGCTTAACAATTCCACTTAAATAGAATGAGAAGTTGTCTCTGATTTTAGTTAATTAAAGCAAAGTGAATTTCTTTAAAAAGAGGTTCTGATTTTGTAAGAGAAGTAGAGCTTTAATGCTCTAAAATTGTGTAACAGTATAATCCAAATTCATATTCCCTTTGATCACAAGATGCAGTAGTTTTTCCCTCCTTTGCTGAAAACCAGTTAGCTTCATTCTGGTAATTTTTGTGTTACCAGTTGTACTTAAATGATCCTTCTAAAAGTGGAAGTATTAATTAGGAACGGTGCCAAATTAGCAGTTGTACAGTGTAATATGGGTATTATGTATCTCTAATTTACTCCTTATCCAGTTGTTACAAAACACAGTACATTCCACCAGTTCACTTAAGAAATGAATTAGATCCGATCAGTGTTACTTATGTTTTTAGATGTACTTTGAGTTCAGCTTCTTTCTTAAAAATACTGTTTGTAAAAATGTAAAACTGACTGACCAATCAAAGACAGTCTGGAGTCTCCTGATTTATCAAATTACACATAGGTACCATTATGCAGTAGCCCCATTTTTTATATTTATTTGTATCTCAGACTTTTTATTACCAGCATCAATCTCTCTCTTTCTTTCTCTCCCCCTCCTCTGGCTTCTGCATGTGCTGTGTGTTTGGCTAAAAGCTTGATGAAGGAAACCTATTGATCTGTTGGTTGAAAGTATAGTGGCAGTGAAATGCTATTAAAGAGCTACCCCCTTTTTTCTCTTAAAAAAAAAAAAAAGAAAAGAAAAAAAAAGTGATTTGCAAAGGGAACATGATCTATTTTATTTAGGCTTATTGAATGGCTTGTGTTACAAAAGATCTGCAAATTTTTATGTTATTTGTCTCTCCAACAAGTAAATTAATTCCAGAAAAATAGTTTTGGAATGTGTCTTGACTGTATAATGATTAATGGGATTTGATTGTATGCGTATCATTGTTAATCAAATGACAGAGACTTCTGTATCTTACTTGGTAATACAAGAACAAAAGCACCAGTACAAGGAATTAAGTACTCAAAGTATTCAGAGAAGAGGAGATTTTGTTTCCTGCAATACATAGTTTATCTGTTGAGTTCACAACTTCAGAAGTCCATGCAAAGACTGCAGGAAGATACTTAAGTTTCTAGATCAGAGTATTCTATACAGTATATGCTGCACAACTCTGTAAATAACCGAGTCTTTCCACCTAAAGACAGATGAGAGTCTATTCCTCTATTTCTAATTAGGCTCCATTGTAAAGGAGGCAGTGCTACAAGACTGGGAACTGCACTTCTGACTTTCAGGCATTAACTACCATCATAGAGTCTAGAATTCAGTTATAGGTAGAGGATTCTAAGTATCTATTCTAATATTTACACAAAATATTTATACACTGCACTGCATACTTGGTTTGCTGGAGATACCATTTTTATCTTAGGAGCAGTGGGGACTACTTTTGGCAGTCAGATTCAAGCGCAGCCATAAGGTGCGTGTGATAAGGCCAGCACTTCAGGTTTGCTGCCTATATGCAAATTCTGCATCCAGCACTTCTAGAAGGCTTTTCTGGCTCTCTTGCACCGAGGTTGTATGCCAGCTTCTTTGCGCTGGTTTAAGAATGTTACAGCTCCTTATGCTTCTTAGTCTTCTTTTGAATTGGTTTTCTTATTCATTTTTCAATGGTAATTCTCCCTGAATTCCTAACTAATTAATAAAGTTTTTGAGTTAATTTATTCTGCTATTATAAACTACAGATTTCCAGTAGCTATTTGACAGATAAAAAGTTTAGAAGAATACATTTATCTACAATAATTAACTGTGCAATTGTCAAATAACTGAAAAGGTCTCCACTCAATTCTTAGGCACCATAGAATGCTTAAAGAACAGTTTGCTGCTTTTTTAATATAATTATGAATATACCCTAATTGAAAGGAAAATTCTAAATGAATATCCACCCAAAATGTCTGACACTCACGTTTCAGGTCAGTAAAATTCTGTTTCTCACACTGTTTTTGAAAATTGTTAGAATAACAGGAAGAAAAGTATGAAATAATTCTAAGAAATAAAAATGCAATTGAAATGTTATACATGGTCTTTCGGCTTTTGGTTATAATGAGTAAATTATATGGTTTTGTTCTTGGTTACTTTATTAGGTCGGTTTTGTATTCAGTGTTTATGCCCTTGTCTTATACTTTAT